CTATAAAAGTGAATATTAAACTTCAAAATAATGGGAGAGAGTTATTAGTTAAACCTATTATGTATAAGAGATTAGTTGAAAGTCTTGTCTACTTGATCACAACTAGACCTGATATTACATATGTAGTTCATTAAGTTAGTTATTTCATGCCTTCTCCTAAACATCTTCATCTAACTACTGTCTGGCGCATCATTCAATATCTTCTTGGTACTTCTCGAGGATTATTTTTTTCCATTAGCTCATTTCTACTATTGATAACATATTGTGATGCTGATTAAGATGACTATTGATAAGTGTCAAATTTTAGTAGTCTTTAAATGTATATTTTGACACTTATTTGATTCCTTTTATTTAGTTTGCACTTAAATTCTATGCAATTTGTATTTTAATATATTTAAGTTCATGTCGTTTAAATTCAACAACTTTAGCTTTAATTTTGTCAAATAATAGAAGATATTTCATTTACTTTTCTTGTGTGAATTTTCTTAAAAGTAAAGGCTTGATGAGGTCTTCACATTTATAGCTTTATTGTATCTTCAAAACACTCTTCATATACGTTATTTTGAAAGTTTTTACCATTTTTCATTAATAAAAATGATTTGGGCTTGTTTTGTATTAATGTTTTAATTTTATATTTTCAGCTAATCTGACATTTGTCTACTTTTTTAGCCATAATTTTTTCTACATATTTTATTTTTTGCTAATTTCAATTGTATTGGATTCTATACATCTAGGAATTCAAAATGTATATATGGTTTGGTAACGCCTTAAATTCTTAGAAATGTGAGAAATAAGACCATATTTTAAAATCTTCTATTAAGGCTAAATACTGTGTCATGCCAAAAGCATGTTTAGAAATTGTTTGGGTTCAAAATCTTTTATCGAAGCTTGGCTATTCATAAGTTAATGCTACACCTCTTTATGCTGATAATACAAGTGTTATTCAAATTATAGTCAATCCTGTATTTTATGAACACACCAAACACATTGAAGTTGACTGACATTCTATCTAGGAAGCATTGGACAACAAAGTTATTTATTTTCCCTATGTATCAATAAATCTACAAGTAGTAGATGTTTTTAAGAAAACTATGACCAAACAACCACACCATTTTCTTGTTGACAAGTTACTTCTAATTGACTTACCTGCATCAATTTAAGGAGATATATTAATGACAGCTAGAACATTTATTATGCAAATATTTTACAAATTATTAGATTCATCTATTATTATTATTGTTGTATATATATGTAATAATTTTTTATTGTAATTGATAGAATAATCATTATATTTTTCTATTGTAAATAGGTTGTGATTGATAAAATTTTATGCTAACCTTTAAACCTTCTATTATTTAGTTTGTAAATGTAAAACAATTGTTGATTAGTCTGTTTAATGGGTAAAAAGGGCAAAAAAAAAAGAGACACACGATTTTTCTAAAGCATTCTTAACTCCTTTCATTACATCTTTTGATATTTAACACCATATATGGATGTAATATTTTCAATTACAAGATTTATGAAATCTTCTTGCGGCTAATGTAAAAACAACCCTGCAATTGGGTCTTTAGTCTTGCTTCCATTTGTTTAAGACACCACTGTCTTAATCTTTTTTAATGTTAGATATCTTAATTTCAATGTTTTGTGTAGGACTCCTAACATAATTATTGTTGTTGGTGATGAAGGAAAAAAGTATCATTTATACAATCCTTAAAAGGTGATATTTCATATTTTTAAGTGTATTTCTTTAAGTACTAGACATAATTAATATTGTTGATATTGATTGTGCGTTAGATTTTTTTAAAATATGATAACATTATCTTGCGGGATGAGGAGAGCAATAAAATCACTGTGATAGTAATAAAAGGCTAAAATAACAATTTTTTTTCATAAAAATAACATATATTATAACAAAAGGTGGGAGAGGTTGTGTGTTTCTATTGTGTGATTTTTATGAATTATACGATGGAGCATGGATTAGAATGTATTATATTGGATAAAGTATTTTGCATTTGAAAATTTTTGACAAATTTTTAGAAGATATTAATTATCTTAAAGATAACACTAGTATTCAACCTATTGTTGATAGCAAAGATGATGGATATATTTTTTTTTCTTTTTTCATAATAATAAATTCACTGAATATCAAACCAATAATTTTGTGGTTAGTATTTTCAGTGTATAACATGTTATTATATTGTTATATATTATTATTAGCAATATAACAACTTATATTTTTTTTTGTTATCTAGAAAATTTTTGTGAATTGTGTCTTTCTAAATCAGCCTTAGTCAATTCTTCTTCAATTTGCAAGCAGTTTTAACTATTATGCTAAAATAAAATAAATGTCATTTTAAATTATTTATCATTTTATAATGTAAAAATTATTTTATTATTATTTTTTAAATTGTTGACCCGCAAAATAGTACTATTTAATTACTCTGTTTGAAGATATAAAGTATTAATAATACTTCTAACGAAAAGATAATTTAAACTTTTGAAAATTAAAAAAAAAATATGTTTTTCTTTAATCTTCGCAACACTAAAGAACTATGCTACTTTTTTTGTTTTTAAACCGATGAAATGTAATTCACCTTCAACAAATTTAATAAAAAATAAAAATTAGAAGAGCAAGCAAAAAACACAAAAAATGGAGACACTTGTCCAATCTTTACAACATATTTACGATAATCTATGCGTCATATTAACTATCAATTTGATGAAATGCTATATTAATTATTTTTTTATTAAAACTATTGATTAAATAATTAATTTGTCAATATTCATATAAATATTATATATATATATATATAATTGTGTACAATTTAATATTTATTTATATTTTAAATAATATATCATAATTTAAATATTGCGTGACAATAAAATATCACTTAGTATTTAATGTGTAAAATTTTATAGACATGATATATTATATACGAATTTAAAATAAATAGTTTGATTAATTAAATATATTTAATAAAAAAGTATTACAAAATTTATTTTATTAAATTTGACATTTATAATACATAGATTAGAGTACGAACTCGAAATTAATATTTCATTTTAAAATTTACTCTGCAATATTCATTGAAAATACTTATTCTCTCTTTGAAAGATGATGATCCACTTGCCAGAAATGAATTACAAATAGTATTTCGTTTTATTAATATCATGCTAATAAAAAGAATAATAATATCATGATTAATAATCGCAAAAACAAGAATACATAATCAGACAAAGTTAAATAGATTTTTGATAAAATTTAACCAGATTCAAGGCATTTTTCAATTACTGAAAGATGTTTCCTACATTTCAAAAAGAGTAAAATTTTTATAAATTGTACTCAATTATTTTTTAAGAGATTAATATATATTACACTTTAACTTGTTTAAATTACTCTTATTTTATTCATTATCATTTTAAAGAGCTATCCTCCTCCTTTTATAAAGCTGTTCCTGATTCCTTCCTTTATTTAATGTCAACAGGAGAATTCATTTAGAATTGGCAAAGCCCAACATAAAACATAAGAAGCGGTTGTTTCCCTCACCACTCTTCCAAAACTTGAATTCTAAAATTTAGAAGTCATACTTAAAACACAATTTTAATTGTGATTAATATAATTGATTTTTTTCAAATGGTATAATGAAAACAATGGTGCACAAAATAAAATAAAATAATTATTAAATAAAAAATAAATAATAAATTAAGCCCACGACAGAAAAATAAATAAATACACAAAGGTCCTTATATGTTCTATTTGTAAAAATGAAAAGAATTTTTTAAGGGGAAAATTTTGGAAGGAGGCAAGGGGTAGCCCTAGCCTTTTTTTTCAAATAAATTTTCTTACGTGTATATATATATATATATATATATATATATGTGTATATTCCTTGCATATGGTTCTGAATCTATCCCTGATTTTATTACATAAAAGTGAAATAGATGCCGAATTTGAGTTTTTTCACTGGAGAGAAAAACAAAGTGGACATGTCAATTTCATTACTCTTTCATATGGAAGAATTAAACTTGGTCAAGGTGGCATATTGCAAAAGTAATCAACCATAGAATGATAATTCACATTTGATTCTGTCTCCCTTTTTCTATATTAGATAGCTTAAACACAAGGTAATTTGCCTACTATGGTAATGTAATCTTATTTCATCCTCGAATATGCCTTTAATAACCAACCATTTCTTGTTCTATCCATTTTAAACAAGTACCAAATTCCAGGAAAAAAAAATGTAAAACTATATTTTAACTAGATTATATGAAAGTTTCTTTAAAATATCAACTAGATGAGTTCTTACACATAGCTATAACAACATTTTAGTATTTTTACAATTTACTTGAATCGGTTCATGAGAATCAAAATGTTCCATTTTTCATTTATTCCGTATGAAAATAGGCAAAACCCTTCTTATCATATCACATAATAATAGATTATCAGGTAATTTAAGAAATTGAATTATACCAAGAAATTTAAAGTATTCCTATAATATATTAATATCCTATATATGATATAACGTGTGAGTAATAAGAGTATATAAATTACGTCAACCAAAATATGAGTATTTTTGGTAAAAAAGCAAATCATGAGTATTAGCAACAATTCAATCGTAAATTATTTATGGGGGTGTAAGAAGAAACTCGTTACTCATTAGTGCCAAGTCGCAAATAGCAACTCTCCCCAGCCAAACAGCTAATTCATAAAATCATTATTGAGAAAATGATAGTCTATAAAACAAAATATCATTTCCACACACACACACACACACAAATGACATTATGCTATAAAAAAGAACCAAAATAAAAGATAATTTATATATTACAGCTTAATTTACCCATAATGGGATATTGGAGCTAGTCAACCCTTGATCTTTGTCCTTTGAAGTGTGTCAATTATCAAAATTTTGCTCACAGATTTTCTTTTTTCTTTTTTCTTTTTTTAAAGAAACATTAATAATAATAATAAAAAAAAGTGCATTCACGAGTAACCAGGTGGTCATGAAATTGAGGTAAGGTTCTCGTTGATAAACAAACGCATCTGAGACCTCTATCTTGAATTACGCACCATTCCTTGCACAGAGGGACAAGCATCAGAAACAGAGCCAAAACTTGTTGCCATTTTCACCCAAATTTCGCTTTCTTTTGGTGCTTACGCTGCTGCCTCTATTTTCGTATCCAACATTTTCACCATTCCCTTCACTGTGCACCCAGAAATTCTCGCAAAGGTTTCTTCTTTTCATTCCTTCGGTGATTCAAATTCGTTTCTTGTTTCATTTTCGTTTCTGGGTATTTCAATTTACGGGTAAAATATTAGTTTTATCTTGATGGGCATCAAAATTTTAAAAATATTAAAGAAAAACAATGTCTAGGTATTTCTGCTATGCACATTTCCACTCAGAATTTGTTATATCATAGTGATTATTTGTGTATTTGTGGATATAACAGGGTTGCTCTAGGGGATTGATTTCATCTCAGCCACCAGTTACCTGAATCTCCTTTGTGGTTTTCATCACTAGAAGCTGTGTTTAATAATTAACATTTAGTTCTTTTCTAAGGTTTTGAAAGATTTCAGGCTTCAGGGTTTGATGTAGGGCTTGATTGTATTGGATGAATGACATGGCTTGGAATATCTCCAAAGGTTCTCCCAGAATGTCTTTCCATCCAAAGCCTCTCTCTTGGATTGTAGTTTTAGTGGGAGCACTTGCAGTTTTCTTAATTTATGCTTCCTGGGTTCTTGTATCATCCCCAATCGGTGCCACGGTTCATGGATATTTTTATAATGTAGGTAGTTTAGACAAGATAAATTTACCTGTCCCTTCAGTAAATGAAGCTCCTATTGATGGTAATTTGAATGAAAGTTTAGATCTTGCTGATAGGAAACCATCCTCTGATACAAAATCTTCCACAATGTCCACTGGGGTGTCTAGTGATAGCAAGATGGAACAGACTGATACGACATTAAACCCACAAGTAGACTTGACTGAGTCTACTTCAGTGAATCTTCCGACAAAGAAGGAGGTGAGTGGCGATGTGCAAGTTTCTAAGTCACAAGAGTCAGAAACTTCGTTTGGCGATGGTGCAGATGCAATTAACAATAGCTTGCCTATTAAAGCAGATTCACAAATTGATTTGCCTTCGAGTGCAACTCTGCCAGTGGTGGGTACCAATTCTTCCAATGCGACAGGTAATATTAGAATGGAGGGACCAACTTCCATGGCTTTGATCAATCAGTCCAGTGCTGTAATGACTCCATCAAATGAAACCTCGATGCCTTTTGATGATTCCACGTCAACAGTTTCAGCATCAGTAGAGAGGCCAAATAACACATCCTATGATGGTTCAGTTAATTCAGGTTGCAGTTTTAATCTTTTCACCTGCTCTAGCTTGTTATCGATGTATTATTGTATAACCATTTTTCTTAATATTATTTAGAATTACCGAGTGTATCATGGGTTCTTAAATTGGTGTTTCCCTTTCTGTTGTGTAGGCTGCGATCTGTACCATGGGAATTGGATCTATGATCCATTGGGACCATTATACACAAACAATTCATGCCCTGTATTGACGCAGATGCAGAATTGCCAGGGTAATGGGAGGCCTGACAAGGATTATGAAAATTGGCGATGGAAGCCCTTTCAATGTGACCTCCCACGATTTGATCCCAAGAAATTTTTGGAGCTGATGAGAGGGAAGACCTTGGCTTTCATAGGAGATTCAGTAGCTCGAAACCAGATGGAATCGATGCTGTGCATTCTCTGGCAGGTTATTTTTTTTCCTTATTGATCTGATTTGCATGGAAATAAAATGATTCCAAGATGATACAGATATTCTGTTTTGCTGACCTGTTGTTAATATCTTCCCATGGTTGCTGCATATTTTTTTGTGATCATGATTTTTTCTAGTATTGAGATACATTTTAAATATTTGAATTTTGTATACTATTTAAGATCAATGAGATTATCCATAAGGGCAAGACAAGCATAATTGAAGCATCAACAGTTCACTTTGTTGATTGTTCAACAGAAAATTATAGATAAAATCTAAAGTAAATTTCTGCTTCAAGGAAATAGGCACTTCAACATGAAAATTCTTTGAAGAAACAGAAGGGATATGTTCCGGTCTTACTCTTTGAATGTAGTTTTGAGTTTGTATTTGTTTGGTTTGGGATCCCCTGAATAAATAAATTGTTTATCAAAGTTACATGCAAGAAAATCCTCTTGGTACTTATCAAATACATCCTTTTGGCACACCTGATTTCTTATATTTGAGATATCTATATGTTTTTCCTTAATAAACATATTTAGATGGTCCTCCAGTTTTTACATTCTTCCTAACTTGGCTTTGATATTTTATGCTTTCATTTCCCTAGCCTTTGCAAATGGAAATTGTATTAAATTAAAGAAAAAGACACCTTTTTGCACTGGGTCAAGAATTGTCTTCATGTGCTATTGTCAGTATGAGCATTTGACTTTAAATATTCATCTACACATAGGGTTCTCACTTGGGAACTTATGTGTGCTGGGTGCATGTGCGTGAGCATCCATTTTTTATCATGGTTGAAAAGCTTAACAAAAAATATGGCACTTTCAGGTAGAGGTACCAAAGAATCGGGGAAATCGAAATATGCAACGATATTATTTTAGGTCCACATCAGTTATGATTGTCAGGATATGGTCCTCATGGCTAGTCAAACTAACATCTGAACCATTCGATTATGCACCTGCTGGTGTTGATAAGCTCCATCTTGATGCCCCTGATGAAAAGTTGATGGAATACATCCCAAAATTTGATGTGGTTGTTCTTTCTTCCGGTCATTGGTTTGCCAAGCAGTCTGTGTATATTCTGAACAACGAGATAGTTGGAGGACAGTTGTGGTGGCCTGACAAGTCTCGGCAAATGAAGGTTAACAATGTTGATGCATATGGCATATCTGTTGAAACAATTCTTACTGCTATTGCTACACTTCCAAATTACACAGGGCTTGCAATTGTGCGTTCCTATTCACCTGATCATTATGAGGGTGGAGCCTGGAATACAGGTGGATCATGCACTGGGAAGTCTAAGCCTCTTGCACTTGGTGAACTGGTGGAAAATGTGCACACAAATACAATGCATGAGCAACAGGTGACAGGTTTTAACCGTGCAGTGAAAAAGGCAACAAATGGATCAAAGTTGAGGTTAATGGACATCACTGAAGCCTTTCAATACAGGCATGATGGTCATCCTGGCCCATACAGAAGTCCTGACCCGAATAAGATTACCAAACGCGGCCCAGATGGGAGGCCGCCCCCACAGGATTGCTTGCATTGGTGCATGCCAGGTCCTGTTGATACCTGGAATGAACTTGTCCTTGAAATCATCAAGAGAGAATATGAAGGTGAAAGTGCATCATGAGATTTGTTTATTTTTTTTTACTATCAAGATGTTTGTTGTGCTTCTGCACTCCAAGAGGGTGCCTTGTGTAGAAATGTTACTTTCTGGGAATGGGTAAAGGTAGTCCAGTTGAATCTTTTCATAGGATAATATATTATAGAGGAATTAATTTATTTTTAAGGTTTGGGATGATAAGATGATAGGTTATTCCTCAATCATCAGAAGCCATTACTGCTACTACTACATGGCTAAGATGATCTAGAGCTAGTTCTTATTATAAGTATTACCTTACATTTTCTACTCTTGTTTCTTGCATTTGATATTTTGTAACCCATATCAGTTTATCAGTATCGAAGAGTTTGATATTTGTAAAAATAAAAATGCAAGATATCATGCTTTTTTGGAGCTTTGAGCTAAACATTTGTTGTTTGGATCCTTTTGAATGGCGGAGAGGACAATGTGGATTTTCGACAACCTTCCAAAATAATCTCATTTACCTTTCTAAGTCGTCCAAATTCAGAGAATTTTGCTGAAGAAACGAAATTAAGTTATTTTATGCGTCAACAACTTTTTTTTGCTTTTTTAAAGTTGTTTATTACTGTTTAAGAGTAATGAACGTAAATACTATTTTATTGATACATGTCGAATTTATTAGAAGAAATATTTCTGCTATGTTTTTAATTATTTCTTCCAAATTTTTAAAAGAACTTTTAAAACTTGTTATTAATATAAGATTTAGGAAAAATTAGGAGTATTTATTGTTTTTATATATTCCTTCAAGTTATTTTAATTATTTTTGCTTGATTTATGAACATTTGAATTGATGTTTTCTCATGTTTAAACAGGTTTTTTTATAAATATTTTGGGTGATTTTTTCGTGCAAATCTATACTCTTACATGAGCTATTTTTTAAGTAAATACATATTCTACATTTATAAGTATTATTGATTGATTTTTCTAATATGTGTAATGTAAAGAAGTTATATATAGTAAGTTTTTATTAAAAAATGTTATCTAGATAAGGAATTATATTAATTTTTTATAAAAATTTACCATTTATAATTTTTTATTACATACATTATTACACATGTTAAAAAAATTAAAGTATTATTTAGATGGATTTTAATAGTTTTTATTACAAGACATTTAATGTTTTTTTTATTAAATTTATGAATTTATTTTTCTAATTTTATAAACTATTTTCTATTTGATGCCAAAGATAAAATACATGAGAAAAATATCATTATTTGACTATAATATTTTAAAATAAACAAGTCAAACATTATATACTTAAATTACTTTTTCATTCAAGCAACTTTTCCTATTTAGCTGCATCGTTGGAGCAGTAAGGCTGAAGCTGCATAATTTTTGGGAGTTACATCAATAAAATTGTTATTTAAGTATAATAAATTCAATATTATTAATAATCAATCTTATCATACTAGTAAAACATGCACTCCTATTACAGTAAAAAAAGTATCAAACTAAAAATTATTGTAACTAAACTTTTCAATTAGTGTCAAATTAAAACTAAAATATACTTGTGCTAACCCTTGATTGTTTTAACGACTGAAACTCTGCTATTTTCACAACAATATATTATAGCTTTGAGGAAAATTATTGAAAAGTGTATAAATGGAGATAGATGGACAAAGCACCTCAAGCACTAATTTTTCTGATACAATTTAGTTATTAATATATAAAAAATGCCAAATCGGTTCTTTATTTAGAGTTTTCCAATTGGTAAGAGTTGTTTTTGTTGTAAGTATTGTTAAATCAAATCCAATCCAATTCATATGACTTTCTCTCTCTTCTGAATTTGAAATTCAAACGTCTTTTCCTTTTAATTTCTTTTCTTAGAATCCGAAGCCCCACACATACACAAAAAAATTATTATTATTATTTTTTAAAAAAAGCAGGAAGAAAAGAAGAGCATATAATAAATACAAATCCAAATCAAATCCACAACGAGCGCTCTTCAACGGTCCTTTTCATCAAAACGGCTACTTTCTCTCTCTCTCTCTCTCACACACACACACACACACTTAACAATTCAAACTTCAAACCCATTTTGCACGAAAACTCGCCTTTCATTTTGTCCAGAAAATCAAGTCATTCCTCTTCTCTGCAGCGACGTAGGAACATCCCATCCCAACACGAAGCGATTCGCAGATCCCTCTGTTGTTCAGGTCAGTTCTCACATCAGTAAAAATTCTTATTCGCTCTTAACATTCCGAGTAAAGTAAAACCATCCGAATCCCTAAATGCGGGAAACTGAAACCTCTGTCTAAATTTAGCAGTTTATGTGGTTCTAGCCTCTCTCCATTTTCCTCATTGTGGAATCGGTTACTCTATTTCTCGCTGCAAACCCCACTCGAGTTTGTGCTTTGTTTCTCGATCTTTTAAAATTTGAATTTTGTAGCTACTTCCACTTTTTTCTAGCTCAGATCCATGTTGCATTTCTCGATCTCTAATTTTACATTTGAGAAAATTAATGTACTACTTCAGCATTAACAGTATTGTTACTCATGTAGTGTTTTTTCTTAAGCTGTTTTGTTGAGTTCACCCTTGGCTTTCTTCCTTGAGATAAAGGTGTGTGTTTTAGGTTTCAGAGGTTTTGTTCAGTGAGGACAACTGTAGATGCTGTATATTTGCAGTTCGCTGTTTAGCAACTATAAAACTGTGCAATTGTTTCACTTTCTAACATATTTCAATTAAGCCTTAAAATGATGGAGTGTTGCCCTGTCTTCTTGGCATTGGCCACAAAACTTGCTTTTGGATCTCACTCAAAATTTAGAATCGTTTTCTGTGTTGGCACCCCTTGAACGGAGGCTTCTTTGATTTTTAAACAAATGTTTTCTTTCGCGAGTATTTTGTTTGTTTCTATATTCATGATGCATTGATACATAAATTTTCAGTCATATTAGAATGCAGATGTTTTGCGTGTTTTGATCTTTCTGAATTTTAATGAGAACGTCTCTGGCAGATACAAGTGCTCCAAAATGTCCAAACCTCAAAACGATCCCCTTTTGCAATCGGAAACAACTTGTGGATCACTTCTCTATGAACTTCAGGTATACGTTAAGTTTTGCAACAATTTTCTTTCCTACCATCCCCTCTCCCTCCTGCAGGTGGATTGAAGAATATTCAGTAAAGCTGTGAGAATCTCATTTTTTGTCTCAACTTATTTATTAGATAATATGGGACGAAGTTGGAGAGTCCGAGGCTGATAGAGATAGAATGCTGTTTGAGCTTGAACAAGAGTGTCTAGAAGTGTACAGAAGGAAGGTAGATCAGGCAAATCGGTCTAGAGCTCAATTAAGGCAGGCAATTGCTGAATGTGAGGCAGAACTTGCAGCCATCTGTTCAGCAATGGGCGAGCGACCTGTGCATATTAGGCAGGTTAGATATTTTATAAACTGCTATAATTTGCTCAGGCGTGTCTGTGTTTTACCAGAATGGGTTGGAAAAAGTGCTTAAGCCTCAAAGTAGACAATAATTTGAACCGGTAAAATCCGCATTAAAAAACGTATATCGAATCCTATGTGGATATATATATATATATATATATCTTAGAAGACTAATTATTTGCTATTTTTTAAAAAGCTTTTTGTTTCTTTAAAGATAATTTTTTATCCATTTAGACTACTGATATGATTTGTATTCTCTGCCTCTTTCTCATTTTACTAGTCCGATCAAAATGCTGGAAGCCTGAAGGAAGAGCACGAAAGAATTCTTCCTCAATTGGAGGAGATGCAAAAGCGGAAGTCTGAGCGTAGAGATCAATTTATAGAAGTTCAAGAGCAGATTCAACGTATCTCAATCGAGATATATGGTCCCAGAGAGTATATTCCTGCCATTATAGATGAAACTGATTTATCCATGAGAAAACTTGAAGAATTGCACAGACAGCTTCATGCACTGCAAATTGAGAAGGTCAATGATTTACTTCCTCTTATATTCTTTTTACAGCGTCACTTTTTGTGCTCCGTGTTACTGTTACTAATTATGCTTGTCTCTTCTTTTCTTGCAGAGTAGTCGCTTAAAGAAGGTTGAGGAGCATCTGTATACATTAAATTCTCTTTGTTCAGTGCTTGGTTTGGACTTTAAGCAGACAGTCAATCCAATTCATCCAAGTTTAGGAGACTTTGAAGGATCTAGGAGTGTAAGTAATGATACCATTCAGCAATTGGCTGTTGCTATACAAGAACTACGGGAAGTTAAATTACAGAGAATGCAGAAGGTAAAGACTGATTTAGAAATAAATTCTGTCTCTGTTTACAATCTTGTGGTTTTTCTTCTGGTTGAAAGTTGTAATTGTAAACAACTTGCGGATTGGCAGCTCCAAGATCTTGCAACAACAATGTTGGAGCTTTGGAACTTGATGGATACACCTATTGAAGAGCAACAGATGTTTCAGAACGTTACCTGTAATATAGCTGCTTCAGAACATGAAGTAACTGAACCAAACACCTTGTCTGTGGACTTCATCAATTGTGTGAGTTATAAGCTACTCAAATATCATAAGGACTATATTTCTTGATTTTTTGTGTTCCACAATTCATGGGGAAGTAATAATGTCATGCAGGTAGAGGCAGAAGTATCTAGGTTAGAAGAGTTAAAATCAAGCAAAATGAAAGAGTTAGTATTAAAGAAGAGAACAGAGCTGGAGGAGATTTGTCGCAAGACTCATTTGGTTCCAGAAGTAGATAGTGCAGTGGAATATGCTGTTGAAGCGATAGAATCTGGTAACTTTCTACTTTCTATAGCAAGATACTTCTGACATGATTGCAATTATTTCCTTTGCAAATTTGAAAGCTGCCTCTTTTTTGATGCAGGATCCGTGGACCCTGCTTGTGTGCTTGAACAAATTGAACTTCAGATTGCCCAAGTCAAAGAGGAAGCTTTTAGCAGAAAAGAGATACTTGAAAAGGTTGAGAAATGGTTGGCAGCATGTGACGAAGAATCTTGGCTTGAGGAATACAACAGGGTTAGTTGTTTGTATATCCTCCTTCAACATTGCCATTTGATTTGCTTTTTAATCATAGCTAGTTAGCTACAATCTAATTTTAACTACTCATTTGTTTTCCTTCCAGGATGATAATCGATACAATGCAGGGAGAGGTGCTCATCTTACTCTAAAGCGAGCTGAGAAAGCTCGAGCCTTGGTTAACAAAATTCCAGGTATTTATTCGTTAACAAAATTCCAGTTTCCAGGTATTTTTATCGATCTTAATTGTTAGCTGTGTAATCATGTTTATTATCAATTCATTATTGGACCTTTACTTTTATGACTCAATGATACAACAATACATAAAAACTGAATCTTAAACCTGCATTATAGTGGATTATATTATAGTGTACTGTAGGGTTTGGATATGAAGTGATAATTATTAATGATTGATCTGACTTTGTTTGTGAGTTCGAAAAATCAATTTCAGAGTAACGAGCACTACTTTAGTTATTTTCTTGATTGGTATTGTTTTCTTCAAGTCTTGTTCCACTACATTCATCTTTCAACTTCATTTCTCTGCCAAGCCATCTGATTCTGCTTGTAGGATAAATATTTTTTTTCAGCATCAGTGTTCGAATATTTTTTCATTTTTTCATTTTTGCATATAGCAATGGTGGATGCTTTGACTTCAAAAACTATAGCATGGGAAAAGGATAAAGGCATTCAGTTCACATATGATGGCGTAAGTACTCTACTTGGGCTAGTCTCGTGACGAATTTTCAGATATTTTAGGGGGGGGTTGAATATTACGTTGTTGTCTTTTAATTCATTGTTAAAGTGAATTTGCTTCAAAATGATTCCTTCTGTGTGGAGCTTTTCAGATTCGTTTACTCTCTATGCTTGAAGAATACAATATATTACGGCAAGAGAAAGAGCAAGAACGTCGTAGGCAGCGGGTATAGTCATCTTATTGGATTTAATATGCATCCCAAATAAATATTCCAGTTATAAAACCCTTATCTTGTCTCTACTCTAACTCCTGGGTTTTGGAATCCGGGCAACATTTTATTGATCTTGTATCATTCAAGAAATAGATGTTTTGTGTTATTTTTATCCAAAACTAGTTAAATATTATCTTTTTGTTTCAGGACCTGAAGAAACTTCAGGGACAAATGATAGCGGAACAAGAGGCATTATATGGGTCAAAACCAAGCCCTTCAAAGCCTCAGAGTGTAAAAAAGGCACCTAGGATGTCAACCGGAGGTGCAGCTAGTAGAAGAGTCTCCCTTGGTGGTGCAATGCTTCAAACTCCAAAACCTGATTCAAAAGCTACTCATTCACGTGCCATTAGAAAGAATGACAAAGCCCACCAAATTGACCAACTGAATTACCTGGATGATGGCATTTCGTGTTTATCATCAGGTAGTTTTTTCAACTTTATTATTCCCCTCCTTTTTTAGGTTATATTTTAGAGGTTACAGATATCTCGCTTAGTAAGAGTTTATAAATTGTTTTTTCCTGTTTGGCTGAAAAGAAGAAAGAACAGGGATTGCTTTGATGGGTCGAAGCAAAACTTTTTTTTTGGGTAAAAAACAATATTGTGTCGGATTCCATCCTGTAAACTTTCTTCACAAAATGGATGACACGAGCCTTGTGCATTGTAATGTGTTCAACTTGTCATAAAAAACCAGCCTCAAATGTTTGTCAGATACCTATGATTTTCTTTGTCATAGTAGAAGATACTCCAACGGATTCTCCCAAGTACTCTTCTTTATGGTAAGGTTGTATGTGGAACCAAGGATCTGTTTATCCCAGCTGGTAGATTTTCTCATAATTTTTTGCTGGTATATCTGGCATTGTTCTTCCCTTTATGTTTGTGTTTTAAGTAAGTTGCACAAACATGCTTTGATGTAATAGCCCGATACCATGAATACGAGTTCTCATGTACCATAAAGAGGCATTCAGAACTCAATTAGAGTATTTTTTTTTATTTTGTTTTCCACATTTTTTTTGCAGCTAGAAGAGGACTGGATATTGCTGGTGTTCCAGTAAAAAAGTACTCATTTGGTGCCGGGAGTCAAGGCACAGAATCTCCTCTGACAAGGCAACCCTTTTCTCCCATCTCTTCCAATGTATCTTCAAAAGCAAATGTGGTAAATGCCACAGAAGAACTGAATAAACAGAGTGATAAGTTACAGAAAACAATGTCACTTAACAACGTGCCATTCACTACTCCCTCCAAGATCCCTACTGTGGTTGATGAAGAGAATAGAACTCCAAAGGCAATGCCTATTCCTGTCCCAGCTACACCTTCGACAGTATCGATTCCAATGACTATGGCCATAACTCCAGTTCCTTCATCAGTTTTGAAGAATATAAGCTTGAATCCAACTCCCACATCAGTTCCTTTTGGTGGAGGTGAAATGGTTCAAGAGATTGAATATTCCTTTGAGGAAAAAAGGCTCGGGTTTATGTTAGCATGATGACTCTCTTGTTTGCTTTTTCATTTTACTTGTAGTTACCTGTGATGATAATCATAAGTCAATTGTAAATTGGCTTCCTGATTGTTGTGTACATTTCAAGTGGAACAAACTTACTAATGTGAGATTTTGCTGTCTAATGCGATTGAGTTTTCTTGTATTGGATATCCACTTCTACATACAGAAGGATTATTAATATTTTGAATTCAAAATATTTCATCATGAGATTTAGCATTAGCTTGCCTTATTGTAGTTTGGCATGATGTGTACCATACAAGTTACCTCTATCACCTTCTCTACCTTTCTCTTTTTTTGTTTTGCCAGTTTCTCGACTTTTATCGTCGAAATTATTTATTATTGACTTCACAATCAATGTATTTGTTTTTTGTGGGCTCTTGATTTTCTCGCCTTGAAAGCAATATTCGTCAATGTGATCATATATATACAGCTTTTAAAAATTATAGAAAAATAATTATGGTGTGGTGGACAGATGAAATTTTAAACCTAGGTTTTGAGGAACAATGAATTGATTTCTTTAGTGATTAAATTTGCAGACTCAATTAATGTAGGTAAAAATACTCCCGATAGAGTCCTAATTTTACAACAGGAAATATTATAAAACAGTTATTATTCAAGGTGAGCATGTTTTGATATCATCTTGGTGGGGGAAACTTTCCAAAACAAAAGTCAAGAGCTTAGTTTTATTCTATTATTATAATTACTAAAACTTTGATTATGATAAAAATTGGTTTTTTATTTATTTTCCTTTTCATGGTAAAATAATAACTTTTTCTCCCAGCCTTCAAAGAAAATAAAAAATCTCCTCCGTCATTTGGCTAGGATTATTGACAAACTGCATACAAACTTTTATCAAATCAATAAGAAAGAAACAAAATAAAAGAGGTGAATGTCAATTTTATCATTTTATATTATATAAAATGAACGTAAAATTATAAGGAAAAATAGAGAAGAATATAGAAAGGAAGAGAAAATCATAATTTCATTTTCAACATCTTCAATACAAATGAGACACTTATTTATAGGCCTAAAACTATAACCGAAGAATCATATATCTTTGAAGGAGAATTAAACAAAACAGTTACAAAATCGTAAGTTACAAAGAAGAAGGAGAAGTTATGAATATGGACATTCATTCATATAATAATTTATAACACTTCCCCTTGAATGTCTATTATTTGAGAATATGTTTAATAACATCTAATTAGAAAAAACTCAATGGGATAAAAGCCTAAGAAAAATATATTATTATTCAATATGTTATTACATGCTGCCTTATTAAAAACCTTGCAAGAAAACCCAATGGAAAAAAATCATAGCTAAGGAAAAAAGAGTGCAGAGCATATTTAATTCTCCCCCTCATGTGGACAATCATTTCAAAGACGACGAAGTCCAATCTTATGAACTAGTTATTCAAAAGTTTTACTTGGAAGTGACTTTGTGAAAATATCTGCTAGATTCTCACATGAATGAACTTGTTGAATATTTATATCACCATTCTTTTGAAAATCATGGGTAAAAAAGAATTTTGGAGAAATATGCTTTGTTCTATCTCCTTTAATATACCCTTCTTTCAATTGAGTAATACATGCATCATTATCTTCGCATATAATTGTTGGGGTCATTTTTCCTGAAGATAAACCACAAGTTTCTTGCACATATTGAATCATAAATCTTAACCAGACACATTCTCGACTTGCTTCATGTAATACTAAAATTTCTGCATGATTGGATGATGTAGCCGTTATGGTTTGTTTCATAGATCGCCATGAAATGGCTGTACCACCACATATAAACAAATAACCTGTTTGTGATCTACCATTATGTGGGTCAGACAAAAAACCCGCGTCTGCATAACCAATCAACTCAAATTTAGATTTGTTTAGGTAAAATAAACCCATATCTATTGTACCTTTAAGGTAACGAAATATATGTTTAACTCCATTCCAATGTCTTCTTGTAGGTGAAAAACTATATCTTGCTAATAAGTTAACAGCAAATGATATATCAGGTCGTGTATGACAAGCAAAATACATTAGTGCTCCAATTGCACTAAGATAAGGTACTTTAGAACCTAGTAGTTCTTCATCTTGCTCTCGAGGCTTGAAAGGATCTTTGTTTACATCTAGTGACCTTACAACTATTGGAGTACACAAAGGATGTGATTTATCCATATAAAATCGTTTTAACACTTTTGAAGTATAAGTTTCTTGATGCATAAAAATTTTATTCTTTACATATTCAAGTTGTAATCCAAAACAAAACTTTGTCCTTCCAAGATCCTTCATTTCAAATTCTTTCTTTAAGCAATTTACTGTTTTTGAAATCTCTTCAGGAGTTCCAATGATATTTAAATCATCAACATAAACAACAATTATTACAAATTCATTATGAGATATTTTTATAAAAATGCATGGACAAATAAGGTCATTTTTATATCTTTCCTTCAACAAATATTCGCTGAGGCGATTATACCATATGCATTTAGATTATTTCAATCCATAAAGTGATTTATTCAACTTGATTGAATAACCTTCTCTAGAATTTGAATTATATGCATCTAATAAATTAAAACCTTCATGGAGTTTTATATATATGTCATTATCAAGTGAGCCATACAAATAGGCTGTAACAACATCCATTAATCGCAAATTGAGTCCTTCATTTGCTGCTAAACTGACCAAGTATCAAAAAATATTTGCATCCACTACAAGTGAATATGTTTGTTCAAAATGAATACTAGGTCTTTGCAAAAAACTTTGGGCAACAAGTCGTGCTTTATATCTCACAATTTCACCCTTTTTATTTCATTTTTGCACAAAAACCCATTTATATCCAACTGGCTTTACATTTTCAGGTGTACGAACTATAGGTCCAAAAACTTGATGCTTTGTAAGCGACTTTAATTCTTCCTCAATTGCAACTTTCCATTTTTTTCCAGTCACTTCTTTGTCTACACTTGTTGATTGATTTTGGTTCATGATCTTCTATATCAGTTATCACATCCAATGCTACATTAAATGAAAAAATATCATCAATATTGACTTCATTTCGGTTCTATTGTATTCTATTTATGACATAATTTATTGAGATCTCTTTATTTTCATCATTTTTATGTACCTGTGTTTCTTCGGGAACTAAAATATTAATTATGTCTGATGACTCCTCTGGAGTCTTTATATCCTCATTTTGGTCACCTTGATTCTTAGTTCATTTTTTTTTTCGAGGATTTTTATCTTTGGAACCAAAAGGTCTACCACACTTCATACGTGATTCAGATTGATTTGCAACATTAGATTGTCCAATCGGAACATTGATTTTGATTGGAGCATTAGCAGCTAGGACATATGATTTAATCACTGTTTTTGGATTTGTAAACACATTTGGTAGTTGGTTGGCTAAACCTTGCAAATAAATTATTTTTTGAACTTTCAGTTCACACTGTTTTGTTTGAGAATCAAGATGAGATAAAGATAATTTATTCTAACTTATCTTTTTTTCCAAATGTTTATTTTCTTCTCCTAAAGTAGAAAAAAATGATTCATCAAAATGACAATAAGCAAATCGAGCAGTGAACAAATCTCCTGTCATTGGCTCAAGGTACTTTATTATAGATAAAGATTCATAGCCAACATATATTCTTAACCTTCTTTGAGGACCCATCTTAGTGCGTTGTGGTGGAGCAATAAGAACATACACTGCACATTCATAAATTTCAAGATAAGAAATATTTGGTTGTTGACCAGAAACTAATTGCAAAGGGGATAACATATGATAGCTTGTTGATCTGATGTGAATAAGTGTTGCAACATACAAGATTGCATGTCTCCAAGTAAAAATTGGAAGTTTTGATCTTATTAGTAATGGTCTTGCAATTAATTTAAGACGCTTGATCAATGATTCAGCAAGTCCATTTTGAGTATGTACGTGCGCTACAACATGTTCAATATCAATCCCAATAGACATATAATAATCATTAAAAGCTTGAGATGTAAATTCACTAGCATTATCAAGGCGTATTTTCTTAATTAGATAATCAAGAAAATGAGCTCTTAACGAATTATTTGTGCAAGTAACCTCGCAAACGCCTGGTTGCGAGTTGACAACAAACAAACATGTGACCATCTCGTTGATGTATCAATCAAAATCATAAAATATCTAAATGGTCCACATGATAGGTGTATTGGTCCACAAATATCGCCTTGTATACGTTCTAAAAATATGATAGATTCATTTCCAATTTTAGCTGGTGATGGTCAACTAATTAGTTTTCCTTGAGAACAAGCAACACATAAGAAATTATTTGATTGAAGAATTTATTGGCTCTTAATGAATGTCCACATGAATTTTTAATTATTTTTTGCATTATGATTAATCCAGGATGGCCTAATCGTTCATGCCAAATAAAAAAATTATCATGATTTGTAAACTTCTGGTTTACAATAATGTGTGTTTCAATTATATTTATATGTGTGTAATATAAGCCAGAAGAAAAAGAAGATAACTTTTCTAACACACATTTTTTATTTGAGATAATTTTTGTGATATACATGTATTCTTATCTTCCTTTATTTGTTGTTTCAACATGGTATCTATTTTTGCGAATATCTTTAAAACTTAATAAGTTTCTATGAGACTTAGTGGAGTATAATGCACTAACAATGTGTAATTTTGTTCCATCAAGCAACAATATATTAGCGCTACCGGAGCCTTCAATAATTTTTATACTAGTAGATATAGTACTCACATTAGCTTGTTGCATTACTAAATGAGAAAAATATTTTTTATTTTTGAAAATTGTGTGAGTTGTTGCACTATCAACAAGACATATGTCTTCATTGTTGGTGTCATCCATAAAAACATTCATTCTTCATTGCAAAAATAAATAATAAATAATAAAAAATAAATTTGATACTAAAAAAAATGGTAAAATTTATTATTTTATTATTATTTATTTACAATGACTATATTAAAATTTAATTTAAATAACAAATATATCAATGAAAAAATAACTATAATACATGACAATTTATTTAATCATTACTATTTTTTTTAGAGAGAAATAGAATACATTAAACATAAATTAACATATAAAAAAAAATATAATAACTCAATAATAATAAAAATAATAATAAACTTATTTTAAACACTACCATAGGATTATAAATAAAATCATTAACAAAAATAATAATAGATCACTAATGAGATGGTCATTTTTTTTTTATCTTGATCGACAAAATGATTAGTGACATTTAAGTGGGTAACGTCCATATGATCATAAAATTATTATCATTTTCACAAATAAAATTTATCTTTATCTTTTTTTCTTATTTTTAAGTGATTTTTTACAAAGATCAATAAAATGCTTTGGTGTATGACAAATACATGATCAGTGAACCTTTGCTTCCACAATACATATGTTTTTCATATTTTTACCACTTTGAGTACCTTTATTCTTTTCAATTTTCTTACTATTTTTTCACTTCTGGTGTGAAAAATGTATATTTTTAATTATCGAAACGATCATGTCCATAACCATTACTACGATAGTAAATTCGTGTATAGTTACAATAGTCATAAGTTGTTATATTTACTTCTGGGAATGGAACAATGCCAATTAGACGAGGTTTATGATTTGTATCAAAATCTTATTATTTTATTCGACCACAAGGAAATAAGAATAAATTTAGAATATTTTTAAATTTTTTTTCACGATATTGCTGCTATAGGAGCACGTGCATAAAAAGTTAAGAATATTTTTTCTTTTAACGTATACTCATAAAAAATCTTTTCTCTACACAATTTTAATTGAGATTATAATAAATAAATAATGATATATTTTTATAAGAAAAATAAAAATAAAATAATATCGTATTTTTATTCAATAATATTCTTTTCTTAAAAAGTGTGTATTAGAGTTTTTAATTATAAATTACTTTATTTTTTAAATTTTATTAACAAATTTTTAATTATAAATTATATTAACATACAATAACCCAAGCCATAAATACGCTAGATCTTTTTGTTTTCTTGGGTAGGATACATTACCAGTACAAGTAGCAGAGTTTAAAAAACCTCGTATTGTAACTGACCCATAATAGCAGTGGCTTTATAGCACCCCAGAATTCAAAAAGATACAAACAGCACATATTTTGAACATCATAATAAAATTTTGAAAGATACTTACCAAACCTCAATAAATTTTTCTGAGAAACATGATATTGTCTCTCTGTCTTTTTTCTTTGTTTTATTTTTGTTTATTTCTGATACAGAAGGAAAAGTGGTTATATAGGAAACGGTCCTTTTTGGTCAACAGAAGCTGTAAATGAGGAGGAGAAAGCGGGGAAAAGATGAAGCAGAAGAGCATGCGTTTACAGTGGCACTTGCAGTAGATTCACCAATCCAAGAGGGCATTTCAAAATTTCATTTTTTTTCCTTTTAAATTCATCAATATGAGTTTCTTGGTCAACTTTAATTTAATTTAACTGAAAAGACAAAGAACTTGTCAGTAGTTGAGAAAATGTAATGGCTCCTATCTTAGCTTTACAGCTTTGAATATTTTTTTTAAGAAAAGCTTTAAATAAATAAATGCCGGTTTTATATAAAAAAAGCCAATTTCTTTCCTTTTCAAAAATTGTACATATTTTTTTAATGCATTCAAATTAAGTATCTGCATTCACAGTCATTTATTAAATCACCTTTATTAAATTTCCAAGACGGACGTGAACCAATTTCTTAACCAAAATTTATACTTTGAATTTTACAATTAAAATATTAATTCATAATTAAATTCCCAATATTTAATTACTTTATTTTAAGATTTTTTAATTTTCCAATTTTTTTATCAACTTTATTTATTTACTCCACCTTTTCCTGCAAAACCCTAAATTCACGAATCACTCTGGAGAATTTATGAAACAGAGTTTGTATTTTTCTCCTTAATTGTAGAATTTTTTTTCTCAAAATTCTGTGTTAATTTCGAAGCTTTCTGTGTTTTCTGCAATGGTGCAGATTTGAGCTTACAGCACTGCGATTTTCTCGGAGGCCAAGCTCAACTGCTCCAATTCAACTTCGGGGGTTTCATCTTTTCACCATTTCATACAATAAAGTTTCTAATTTTGAAGTTTCCTGCGAGATTGTAAAATTTTCCTGCTCTCAAATCCGCTTTCTCTTAATCAAATAGCATTTCCCCCCCTTTTATAAAGTTCCTATTTTTTTAATATTTTTTTTGGGCGATTGGGTGTGTAAGCGTTGGAATCTTCAATGGGAATGGTTTAAGCAGCGTATTGAGGTTTTGGGGTATCTTAGTTTTCTCTTGATTCGCATAAAAATGGAAGAAAGAGGGAATTTTAGTATTGGGCATGCGGTGGTGGGTGATGAAGCCCCAGAGAGCTTCCACGTGGCCCCCAGAATTGAGAACAACTTGGACTTTACCCGGACCACGGTGCCAGCGCCGTCGCCGGCGACGGAGGTGAAGAAGAAGAGAGGGAGGCCTAGAAAGTATGGACCGGACGGCAAGGTAGTTTTGGGGGCGGTGACGGCGCTTTCACCGATGCCGATTTCTTCGTCGATCCCGTTGACCGAGTTTTCTGCTTGGAAGCGGGGTAGAGGGAGACCTATTGAATCTATCAAGAAGTCGTCATATAAGTTTGAAGTTGACAGTACAGGAACAGGTATTATATAGTTCTTTGATCTTTTGAATTGGAACCTTTAATGGTGTTTTTAATTTTTTTTGTGTTTTACTGTTACATCTGTTGCCAAGGTTTTATTTTTACTGTTACATTTGCTGTTTTGGAGATATGAGAGAAGGGTTGTCATAATAAATGAGTGAATGCTTCAAATTTGGTGGCTCTTGTCTTTTAGCTCTTTAATGGAGGAGTATTGTTAATGCTTTTGTTTTTGGGTTTTAATTGATTTGGGGTGAATCATTTGGACGGTTAGTTATTTACTCTGATCTGTGTTTTAGTGTGCAGTGAACTTTTTGATTTGATTTTTGCTTTTGAGAGATATCGGGGGTGGGGTGTGAGTGGACCCTTATCTCTGATTCCTTTTCAGATCTGGATGCGAATTGTGAGGTGGATGGTGATATTTGTGGTTGAAAGTGAGGTTGGTTTTTTCTTTCAGGTAGCATATGGTGCTCTTTATTTTCCTATATGAGGAGAAGAAGAGGATTGCATTATCTGACCATGACAATTTTTAGAGTTAATGAAGGGACCGCCTATTTAGTAGGTTGAAGTCCAATAGTTTGTTAAGTTGATGTGCCACCCTTGAACTTGTCTAAAGTCTAAACTATTTATTATTTTTAGCAGCTTCTAACTGCCTTGTTGAATATTGGCATGATTTGAAAAATTTGCATAATAGGAATTTTGGTCGGAAATATTTTCAAAAAAGTTGAAGTTGTCCATTGAAGGATGTTGGGAGTGGCTTCTTAAAATGATAGTATCCATTTATATAACATTTAAATTCAATGAAATAATTTCTAAGTTCATGAGGGCATTTGTGGTCTCCTTGGGTATGTTTGGATGGAGGAGGATTACTGAAGGTTTTATGTGGACCTTCCCATGCATGGAAGTTCTATAAAAGGAAAGTTAGGAAATAAGGGATTTTCATTCAAACTTTTTAAACTATTCCTTATTCATTTTTCTTGAACATTAAAATATTCTTGATTTTGGAGAATTTTAAACATTGTAATAAATGGGAAATAAAAATAAAAATAAAAATCATTACTTAATCCCCCATTCTCTTCCTTTTTCCTTTATTTATTTTTTGGTTTCTGTCTCTGCTGACATTAAAAAATACTCCTATGTGCTGGATATATTTCCACAAGGGAACATGTGAACAAGACTTCCATATCTGAACAGATGGCTTATGAATTGATTGAGGTTTGGCTCTCTTTGTCTTTAAGGGATCTGAAGGAAGTTTAGAATGCCATAATGGACTTGATTAGTTAAGCAGAATTCTAGTGTTGGAATCAGGGTTACAGGTTATATATTGTGTGCATACTGGATAGATGTGATTTCTACCATATTTTGGCATAGCAGGGGTTTAGAATTTCTTAAACAACACATGGAAGGGAAGAACCTTCGCCGGCTTGACTAGAAAGACAGAAAATTTCGGGGGTAGTGATGAATCCAAAATTAGGATTTTAATAGGGTATTTTATGTGGCTATTTCTCCACCGTGTAATATTTTAATGTGTGAGGTTGAGTTTGCTGTTCATTGTTCAATTACTATATGAATGAGGTGGACTAGAGACATAGATGTGGCTTGTTGAATGCATCTTCTGCTTCTGATCACAGTGCAAAACATGCTTTATTCATTGTTTTTTCTTATGAAAGCCTTTTGGTTAGAATTATTCCTCTAAATGTACCTTATTCTTCCATAACTTATTTTCTGTAATTTCATGATTTGCTTTTATGAGGAACTAATTGTTGCAATTTCTTTCTTTTCTTTTTTGAATTATGAAGAACATTTCTCTCTGGACTCATGTTAATATTTTTGTTATTTCTTTCCCTCTTCATCTATTCATCTTGCCAAATATGTATTTTATAGGTGAGGGAATTGCATACTCAGTTGGTGCCAATTTCACACCACATGTGCTCACTGTAAATGCTGGCGAGGTATTTTGTTCATTTCCTTCTAGGTTTATATGCTGAAGTTAATTAGAATATAGTTTTAATACAGTTAATTTTTGTGTATGTGAATGCCATATATGGTGGAAATACGAAGGCCAGTTGTTTTGCTTACACTTCAAATGCCATTTTCATTAAAACAATCTTTTGATGAAACAAAATATTTTATACATAAAATGTAATAACTTAAGAACATGTAATATTCTTATTTCTGTCAATGTCGAAATTCCACATTTGATTCTCTACTGTATGTGTTCATTGCTTGTTCCTTTAATAGTGTTTATTTCTTGTGCTAACATATAATTTTCCTTATGATTAAATCAATTTGTCGGCCTTAGTAATAATTATAGGGAATTAGGATATCCAATTAGATAAAATTATATGATTCACCTGATAGTTGTAACAGAATTGGCTAATTTCTTAAAATAAAATGCTGGCCCAACTCACAAGGATGTGAGCTTCATTTGGTTGGCACAACTACTATTGACTAAGTTGTTGTTTGTTATTTCATTATTGCTTTGCAGTCTGCTTATTTTTGTATTTGTGATTTTCTTATGGTCTATCTCAGGACGTTACCATGAAGATTATGTCCTTCTCTCAACAAGGATCACGTGCTATATGCATTCTCTCTGCAACTGGCACGATTTCAAATGTTACACTTCGTCAACCAACTTCTTGTGGGGGTACTTTAACATATGAGGTGAGTTTGATTTTATTTCATAGGCACAGAAAGAAAATGAATTCAGGCATTTGTTTCTCAGATAATGTTTACTTATCATTAAGTTAGTCGCATAATATATGACACTGGTCACTAGTGCACTTGTTTTATGTGCAGCTCTGTCTATCTGGCATTGCATGTATGATGTTAGATATGATTATGAAGTGTTAATTTTTATTCAAGTTAATTGTTCCCTAATAGTGAAGGCTTGTTTATTTGCTGAGTTTTACTACTCTAGAAAGAAGTGCACAGTTAGATGATATTAAGAGGAAATGGATGTATCAAATTTGGATTGTTTGAATTTAGTGCACAAGGATAATAACCTATATTATGCGGTTAAACTTCTCTTGCAGAATTATCTGAAACTGCTGATTCTATTTAGTTACATTAATTAGGTCATCAGCTAATTGGTTACTATGTCAATCTTGTTATTAACAAACTTTGAAATGACACTTGTAGAAGGATTATTGTAACTGTTCTTGCTTTTCAAATGCAAATTCTAGATTTGAGATGCTGTTTTGTTTTTATATATTCATAATTCTAGCTGAATTATTTTAGTTTGAATTACTCTTATAGCTCAACACTATTAACTTAGTGTTTGGCATCTTTGATTTATGAAAACTGTGGATAAATCCCTTATACTGTGTTTTTTGATCCAAATAGCTCAGATGTTCATTCTCTTAAATCCAACAAGACATGCTAACTTATAACTAAACACACAATTAGGTTAATATGTTTTCATGCTTGTCTCGTCTCAAATACCACTTAGGATCTCACTTTGTGCTTCACCAACTAATGTCTCTTTGCATGTTATACTTGTGGAGAATGAAGACTAATTATATATAGTTTCAGGATAAAACTTCCCTTGCTTTTGGAATCAGAGATTTGACACATGGTTAATTCACTAACTTCCTCTACAAACATAACTGATCCTTCCTTGCCATTTATTGTCTAACATCAAACTGATCATGGATATATCATCCAATTTCAAGTTATGGCCTTCTCAAATAAATTAAATATGCTCACATTTAATTGTTTTTTTTACAGGGACGGTTTGAGATTCTTTCGTTGTCTGGTTCCTTTATGCCAACAGAGAATGGAGTTACAAGAAGCAGATCTGGTGGGATGAGTGTCTCTTTGGCTGGTCCAGATGGTCGAGTAATGGGGGGTGGACTTGCTGGTTTGTTGGTAGCTGCTGGTCCTGTGCAGGTAAACCTTATGCTGTACATGAAGGGATATTTGATAAATATTCAAGAACCTTATCAAAATTGCTAATATAACATTTCATAACCTTTGTAAGAAAACAAGATAATAGTATGTCTGGTTGTTCAAATTATTCCCATTATCTTAAAGCAATTTTTAGCTTTATAGGTTAGATGACCAATGCTCTTGGAATTATATTTATGCTATATCACATACCCCCAAAAATAGGAATAGAAACTGAAGACATGCTATGAAGAACAAAATTTCTGTATGAAGGACATTTCAGTAGTCTCTTCTCTCACTATCTTCTGCATCAGGTTGTGGTGGGCAGTTTTCTTCCTGGTCATCAGTTGGAGCATAAACCCAAGAAGCAGAGAGTGGAGCATATATCAACTATTACTACTACGCCTATTAATCTCCTCACTAGTGAGGAAATAAAAGTCAGTTTTGGTGGTGTAAAGCCTATCATGACACCTGCTGCTTTTCAAGAAGAGAATATTGCTTCTTTTAACAATGTTCAAGATTCTAGGAACTCATCTGCTGATGATAAAGATCCTTTACCTGAAAAGGAGTCTAACCTGAGCCAATCAAATGCTGAGGCTGCATGCTAAATATGTTCCTGTGAATTATTTGATATTATGCAGAGTCAACCTCATTTAGACTCACTCATGCTTGACTCATAGCTGACAATTAACCTACAAAGACAACTCTGATAGTCAAATGAGTGTCACACGATGGTTTTGACGCAAAAGTTGCAATCTTTGGGTTTAGGTGTTAGTTGGCAAATCTATTTGTTAGGTTTCCATGTCTCCGTTCTACAGATGTATCTTTAATATTGTTTACTCATTGTTGTAGCAAATTAGATGTAGGATATATGCTGTGTCTTTTTTTTTTTTTTCCTTATTTGTATTCTATATGGATGTTACAAATGTGAGTGGATGCGAGTGTTTCTGAACTGTGATTCAATATTATTTTGTTGTGAAAGAAGAAATTGCATCTCAGTCTTTTAGGCTTGCTTTCTTTTGGTACTATGAGTCTTTGCTCAAAATTATCTCCAGGACACGGGAACTAATAGATATCTCCAATCCCTTGAAATTATTTTGCCAAACACTTTAGATTTTGGTCAAGTAAAAAATGCACAAGATTATGATTATTGTTTAGTTTATGATAATTGAAAAGATGCATAAGGGATTGATGCAGAGATTATATGTCTTCAATCTTATCAAACAACTCTAGAATGTTTTAACCAGCACCTATTATGCCTACCTAATTGTGTTCAATACCCAAATTTTAACTCTAGGGTGGGTGTATCAATTTTGAATTTGTTTCTAAATTTTAGCCATGCACAAGACTATTGGAAGTTTGATGTTCTTCATCTTGTATACATATTTTCTTGTCATACAATTGTGGTAATATATAAGTAATTATCTGTCTTTTATCTCGATCTTTTTTTTTTTCCTAAACTAATCTTAATTGAGACCAAAATATAGCCTAAAATATCACAGCTTCCAGTTAATCATGATATTTACACGACCAAATAAACTTTAGGATCATTTCATTTAAAATTGTTTTCACAAACGCTTTAATATGAATTGATTTTAAAGTATCAAATTGTCTAAAACATTGATTTTTCCATATATAAATTTATTGTATTAGAATAGCAACAGTTTCGCTGCATTTCTTGCAGTTTACCATATCTTGCGCTTTATGATGGTCTACCCCGTTTCAACATCTTTTCCACATATGCTGCTTCGTAGCATGCATTTATGCGTCTTACTTTTTTCTCCTTATCCATGTGACTCAGAACTTAGCAAGAATTTAGTTCCAAAACACTCAAGAAAGAGTAAATTTCAGTCAGAACTCAGAACCATGGAAAATCAGTACTCACTTCTAATCTAAATACCTTGTTTTAAGATACTAAATTCAAGGATACAACAAAACTTAAAATATAATTTTACAAATGTTTCAAGAATGAGGGAAATAGCCCCACAAACAGGTAAATCTCAACATCCTCATTCCAACAGTTCCTTAGTATTGGAGTCCCATAGCAAACTAGATGTGCTCAAATATTCTTCTTTCCATCCTTCATTAACTCTCTCTATAAACTCTTCCACTCTTTTCCTGAGCTCATCATCTTCCTCATTGTAGCAATCATCATTACTTTCAGTTTCAATTTGATCCACTTCCACTCCTTCCTGGGATTGTAGAGATAATGTGTTTTGGTTGACTAAACACTTGGAATTTGCTCCTTGTATGCCTGTGTTTGTGGGCATGGACAAAGAAGTTTCACTTCCTTGATCAAAACTCAGCTTAGGCTTCAAGTCCACTAGGATAATGACTATGATCAAATTGCAGAAGCAGAAAATGAAAGCATAGCTAGAAGCTGCGTTAGTGATGTACTTCATCACAGAATCTAACATGGTTATGAACATGAAAAGTAAGGAGGAGACTGAAGAGTGAGAAGGTGGTGGCTTGTGTTAGATGCTGCTTGTTGATTTGAAGTCTATTTAAAGTCCTGTTTGGATAGATGCAAACGTGGACAGAACCTTCTTTTTTGTAGCAAATTTTAAGGAGCTGATGTGTGAATGATATCAGACCAGACAGTACAATATTCTTTTGTGTGACAATTGATGTAAAAATGTCTTCATAAAATCAATCAGAAGTCTATTGTACAACCTCAGATGCAACTTTCTTAATTGCTCATAGGCACAGCCTTCTATGTCATTAACTTGACTTCAGCCACCAAAATTTGTACGCACTATGCAGAATTCATTTTCTCTCTCTGGATTATTTCCCTTATTGTCTTATTTTTCATTTTTTTTATCATGAATTTTCTTAATTTCAGTCCTTGAAATATATATAAAAAAAAATTTAATAAAATTTTGCTATTATTAATTACTTATCTTCAATTCTCAATACGAGATTAACATATTCATGTTTTTCGTTAATAATCATGGGCAGTTGGGGTTAAAAGAAAATACTCCAGATGGATTATGATTTTCTGGGGTGGTTGAACATTTTGAGAATTAGGACTATGGCCCACTGAAAGCGACAAAGGACCAAAGTAACTAAGCGATTTGGCCGTTGGCAAATTGTTTCGTTGTTTGATTGAAAAATATACAACTGATGTTCACAGCTTGTCTATTATTGTTCATATATTACTCTATCTGTGAGCCTTATGTCTTTATTTTGCAATTCATCATCTTCACAACTAACCACAATAGGAGGAAAATGGATCCTCTTAGTGACACTATAGCTGAAGAATTTTTTTTTTTCATTGAAATAACTATTTTGTCTATTTGAATGATTATTTTAAAAACATAAAAGTCAGATTTTAACACTTCATTATGTCAAATTTTTTTACAATTAAGAGAATTTTGATCCCAACAATAGAAGTAGACGATCCGACAAAGAAGAAAAGGAACAGATTAAGTCTTGAAGGGAATGTGAGATCAATCTTACATGGAAAAATGGGTATCCGATGTTAGAAAACACATGAAAAGTGGAAATTTTTCAAAGGTAAGAAGACAAAAAGTAGCGCACATGCGTAGAAATAAAATGAGATGTTTAACCAATCGGAACATTCCATGTAAGGTACCACTCCATTCGTAAAATTGTTACAAATTTTAATTCGAACAAATAAGCATTTCTAATATTTAAATTGATTGAAATTAAGTCTCAAAATATTTATCGTGCGATTGCATCAACGGATAATGCTGAATGCTACACTTAAATGCAACTATTTTTTGTTAGAAACTCGATTAATTGGTGGCTAAAATATACAGGTAAGTTTATTATTGCCTGGTTATGTTTTTCTTTTTTAATACCTTTTTGGCTAAGATCAATTGGTTAGGTTTTTCTTTACCCATCTCAACACATAAGTTGCATTATTACGATTAAAATGAGACTCCACCATTTCATTTTGTATTTTTTTTTTCATTTTTGGCGTAATAAATCAATGAAAAATTTCTGGCTTTTCTGATGGATTATCCTATCCACCAGATTCTCTCAGACGGTGGACAGGTTTTAGCCTGAAAATGTCAAATTAACGTACACCAGAAAAATGTTTGCACGCCATTTCTTAGCAAAATTAAAAGAACAAAGGGAAATGATGAAGAACATAAAGAGAACCCAAGAATCCCAATTCAAGAAACCAAACCAACCCACAAGAACCAAAGTTAACCACATGCATGTACAATAGTATGCCTTGCCTAACATATGAAACTTCCCAACACTACCACTCTCTGTAACAAGGTCATTAACAGCTTCAATGGGGATTGTATCACCAACTCTAGCCACTTGGTATCCTTCATCTACCTCCTTCCACCTCTCAACCAAGGCTAAAACCTTGTCCCATGCCACGTGCATCAATCAACTTCAATTCAGTAGGTAACCCTACCTCGGAAAATTAATAATGCTACTACCACGAACTTTACATATATATAAAATGAGAAAAACATATGAAAAGTGCGGCTAAGCCTAAAAGTATTGTTGTAACTAAGGTAAAAAAAGAAGAAGAGAGAATGTTTGGTTTTGCATTAAAATATATATAAATTTATGTTTATTTTAACTTTGCACTTATAACTTTTAGATTAAATTTACGTTTACAGATACTTTTAATGTGTTTGAAAAAAAACACACGTACTATTTTGTAGGAAATGCCAGCAAACTAACACAAAAATTTATTACAACGTACTATTTTAGATTATGTACATGTTTACTAGGACTCAGTACGTTAAAAGATGTGTTTGTTTGTTTGTTTGTTGTTGAACTTGTCTGGGCGAGGCACAAAAGAAGGGTGAGTGAGTGGCCATTAGCATTGCATCGTTTCCTCAAAGTTGAACTCATTTGTTTCAGAAGCAACAATGGAGAGTAGATCACATATGGTGCCATTGCCGTTGTTGATGAACAGTGGGAATTACACAGCATGCACCATTCCTTGGAGGTTACCTTCTGATGATCCACGCGTCCCCACTCCCACCGAGCTTTCTTGGATTAATCTCCTACTCAATGTTATCCCCTCCTTCAAGTATGTTATCCTTTTTCCTATTCACAAACAAAAATGGATGTGGTTCAAATTTATTCATTTCACTCATTACTTACCTTTATCCTTAGAAAAAAATGTAAAGAACAAAATTCGGCGTGATTCATAAAAAATAGACAATGCAAGTCCTTTTTTTAAAAAAATTAAAAGATATATATTTATTATGTGGTTCAGAATTCTTTTTCAGTAGGACAAGTGGTGCACAGCCCCCAATAACATTTTTCTCCAATGTGGAGTAAAAAACTTCTTCGGAGTACTGGGTTTGTGGGTAACTTTTGCATTCTGGTGCTTTTGGAAGGTTGCTACCTTCAAGAGCAATTGTGTGGTTGGTAAACATTTACCAATGGTATTGGTATCATAGTCATCTATATTTCTAAATGGACATGCAAACAGTGAAGTTATAATAATGAATGTTCCAATGGATGGGTTTTATTATGGTTTCTGAATCTGTCTATGTATTTTGTGTTAGAGATATAATATGAGAAAGTTTGAGCTTTTGTAATAATTGGTTTTTGCTAGCTGTTAGAGCCTCTGTGATTAAGTGTTCCAAAAGTTTGATGCATTCATTCTTCTAATTACAAAAATAATCAAATTTCATCACTTAGATTGGGCCCAAGCATTGTCCATTCTTCAATTTCAAGGGGCTTTTCCTGAAATAAGAGAAAGAAATAACAAATTTAAGAGTGTTTCCTAACTGAAGTTTAGAAGCACAGTGTAGATGCTGCTCCTAATTAGTAATTATGGAAAATAGAAACAACTTAAGTTAAAAAAACAATACTAATGTAGCAATTACCAGTTTTAGTAAAATGTGATTTTAATATAATTGCAATGCCAGGATTCTATTATTTCGACATTTCTTGTTTACATCAATTTTGTGCATTGATTTGGTACAGGAATCGTGCTGCGAGTGATACTTCTGTTCCTGATGCTGCAAATAAAGCTGAAAAATTTGCTCAAAGGTGGGCTTTTACTGCTTATCTGTTAATTTTTTGTACGCTTTGAGAGGTTTGTTGCATGTCAGAGACTTAGGCTTTTTAATAACATCAGCACACTTGTGCAAATTAGAAAGGCATGAGCACGACCTTACTTGTGGATCTTTATCCTCCTCTTGTTATATTTATGTAATATCTTAATTCAAATTGTTATCAATACGGGGGTATTGTTAATTTCAAGATTGCACTTTTTATTGACTCGTTGCCTGCAAAAGGTATGCAAAAATACTAGATGATTTCAAGAACGACCCTGCAAGTCAAGGGGGGCCTCCAGATATCCTTGTATGTTCTTTAGCTGAAGTTATATGCAATTTTTTCTCAGCAACACCCTTCCCCCTTCTGTGTTTGTCGAATAGCAAACATAAAATGCAGCAGTTTGGTATATGTCTAATTTCTCCTTTTGTGTTTTACCTTTATTTCTCTTTTCTTTGTGTGTGTGTGTGTGTTGGGGGGTTTCTAGCTTCTATGCAAACTTCGTGAGCAAGTCCTTAGAGAACTGGGATTCAGAGATATCTTCAAGAAAGTCAAGGTAAATTTAACTGCATAATCTGGGGTTCTGTATGCTAAATGATAATACCGTTCACCTAAAATGTTAAAGAAAAGCATGTATATATCTGTTATCTGATATTCTGATTAAAGGATTGTAGTAATGTAACATCTTTCAAGAATACTGGGAAATTTAATAGCATTCTTTTCATGATGTTGGCTAGTGGTCTAACTTTTATAAGCCAAAGTTGAAGAAATTTAACATATTAGTTTTCAATTTCAATAAGAGAAGTGGTGGAGTGGTATCATGACTATCAAGTATCAATGAACCTTGTAGTTTACCTTTGCTCAAGATTTGTGATTTTCTCTGATTGAATGTGACAGGATGAAGAGAATGCAAAGGCCATCTCCCTATTTGAGAATGTTGTTCGTCTTAATGACGCCATCGAAGATGAAGGCAAGCGACTTGAGAGTTTAGTTAGAGGGATTTTTTCAGGGAACATATTTGATCTTGGTTCTGCCCATGTAAGCTGATTTTCTGTATGTAATTTTGGTCACTGTTGGTATAATGATATTAGTCAGCAACTATTATCTTGCATGCAGCAACTGCATTATCACATTCATCCTCTGACTTGGCACCTGATTCACTTCATTCATTACATGCCAATAACTAAAACCATGAGTCTTGGCACAAAGTGGACTAGCCTACTTGTTCGTGCAAACATTGGTTTTACTTGATTAATGTTCCATGTGACTGTACCAATCCTTTTATTACTCACTTTCCTATTGTCTGGTTTGGTCTAGTTACTCTCCAATATATCAGCGTACATGGTGTGGCTAATGATGTTTAGAATATGATGATCCTTCACTACGTTCAATTGGCATTTGATAGTACTTGGCAAGTTGTTAGCGGCATTTACCCATTATCTCACCTATCATTTATCTACACAACCATAGGTCGACAATTTGAGTAGAAAACCATATATAGTTCAAACCTTTTTTCAAACTAAATTTATTTGGCTACTTGAAGAAGTTGACAGTGTGTGTTATTTATTACAATCACATGCCACAGTTTGGAGGATTATATAACTAGTTGTAGTTTATATGGGCTACCTTTTTCTCCATTCAATTTCTTGAAGCTTGCAGAGGTTTTCTCTAGGGATGGAATGTCCTTTTTGGCTACTTGTCAAAATCTAGTCCCAAGACCTTGGGTTATTGATGACCTTGACACTTTCAAAATGAAATGGATCAAGAAGTCCTGGAAGAAGGCAAGTGTCGTATGGTTATAGAAATATACAAGTTTGTGGTGCATTTTATGTCTTCTGCCATATTTTGTGCAGAGGTCGTGTCCTAATCAATCCCTTTTTCATGGTAGGTTATCATATTTGTTGATAACTCTGGTGCAGATATCATTTTAGGTATTTTGCCATTTGCAAGAGAGCTCCTTCGGCGTGGAAGTCAGGTTTGCAGACATTTTATTTCTCTTTCAGCTATGTTTTTGGTCTAGCAGTTTAAAACCCATTACTAATTTTTGCCATTTATTGTCTTATGTTTATTTTTGTTTTAAAGTGGAGGAGAGTAGTGAAAGCATTTTTCTTATTGATCACAATAGATCAATGTGTGAAATACTTGGAATTTATTTTGTATTAAAAGGAATTTAGTGGAACGGCAGATTTTGTTAATCTGTTTTAAGTAGTTTGATTAGATCCACTACACTCGTCTTTGTTTTAGGTGTAATAGTTTTTATATTTATCCATTTTGAAGTTTTGTTTGAAATTGAAATTCTTTTTCATGTGCTGTTCTTATTGCTACCTGCTTCAAAATATTTTACATAATCCTATTTTGAACGCAGGTTATATTGGCTGCTAATGACTTACCTTCCATCAATGATGTGACTTACACTGAGCTAGTTGAAATTATATCAATGGTAACAAAAATTAAGTTTGGAAAATTTTTTGCATGACCAAATTCTTTTCCTAGATAACACTGATGTTGATTGCCAGTTAAAGGATGAAGAAGGATGTCTCATGGGTGTCGATACTTCAAATCTTCTAATTGCCAACTCTGGAAATGATTTACCTGTAAGAAAATCAATATATATACACACACACACACACAATTGGTCTATATTGTAAAATCATTGACTTTGATGATGGTAACATGTTTCTTGTTATGTTCAACGGATTGAAGATTATTGATCTTACAAGGGTGTCACAGGAGCTAGCATACCTTGCCAATGATGCAGATCTTGTCATCTTAGAAGGGATGGTAAGTTCTTCCTTATTGATGCTTTCTGTTGGGTTAGACAAATTGCATGCTCATACATTTATCTTCATCATTTTTTGGATTCTTCGTTTCTTCACTACTTGCTCCAAATTCCAATGAGGCCTTCACACTTATCCATTGAGTCTTGTCACAAATTGTTGCTTCATAAATATTCAACATTTTTCACCAAAAGTAAATAAATAAATACTAAGCACTTTCCTATTTCTTTTGACAGGGTCGTGGACTAGAAACAAATCTCTATGCTCAATTTAAATGTGATTCCCTCAAGATTGCTATGGTAAATTTTATCATATTTTTTCACATGCTTCTTAACAAAAGAAAATTTGAATTCTGATGATTCTACTGTTTCTTCTTATTTCTTTTTCTTTCTACAGGTGAAACATCCTGAGGTTGCAGAATTTCTTGGGTCACGTCTGTATGACTGCGTAATCAAATACAATGAAGTTTAAAGCTTATAATTAAGGCTGATTCTTTCCTCTGATGATTGCTAATACTACATTAGTATATGTATGAAATTAGACGAGTTTTTAATGTAAGAGTAGAAGAATTAAATTTTAATCATTAGATTTAATAATAAATAGTTAAGATTAAAATAGCGAGTGATGTGGCATTTTAAAATGATTGTGACCATTAAAAAGCTTTTAATCTTGATTATCTATTTTTGACTGCATGATTAAGATTTACTTCTCTCACTCTTTATATTAAAAATTCTTTTTACTAAGAACGTTCCCCGTATCATTATATACATGGTTGAAATAATATATCCTGAGTTGATTTATCAAAAAATACAATTTTAATTTAATTTAATTTATCCCAACCAATTTAGACTTTTTATTTGGATTGAGTCAAGTTAGGAGGGTTGACGGGTTGGATTGGATTAATAATAACCCATATATTTGATTTCTATATAAACTTGTTATTATCATATTAAAATTTGAAATTCTCAACTCTTTCAATAAACAATTACCTTTTCAAGGATGATCGCATGTCTAGGGTTGGATTGAGCTTAGAAAAAAAAAGAGCCAATTAAATTTGACTAAATTGAGTTGAATAGGATTTACTATTTTTTAAGGATTTTCTAAATTTTTTAACAAACCCAATCTAAATTGATACAATTTAAATTAAGTTGGGTCGCGAGATTTTTGTGCGTGTGTATAACACAAAATATTCAGAAAAGAATTAATATTTAAAACTTAAAAAAAAAGGTCATAATAAAATAAGAAAGAAAAAATCTTTAATAATAAGGTTGTCGAGTTTATAGAATATAAATGCCTAGTCTTATATTTGACCTTGAATTGTAATGATAGGATGATATCTTCCAATAAAACCCAGTTCTTGAAATCAATTTTTTTTATAAAATTGGATTGATTTGATTTACAAATTGAATTGGATCTACAATGACTATATTTCTTTCCATGAGATAATTATGTATTCTAATTAGAAATTAAAAGCCCGTGAAAAGGGTCAAATTTTTAATTTGACTTTTACATCTCAATAAACACAATTTCAACTATATCCATGATAATTATACAAAATTTTCTTTCTTCACAAATGACATTTATCTTGAATTTAACATGTCAATGCATTGTCTCTTTCGAAACTCGTAATAAATGAATCAAATTAAAGGGTATTTAAATTCATTTCTACAAAGAAATTAATGTGAGTTACAAAGCGTTTTATATTCATCATATTTGTTTCCTTTGACTCTGATGGTTCTTTTCTTTCCCAAAAGTGACGGATGCAATCCACATCTGTGCAAAACTAAGCAAACTGAAAAAGATCGAAGACAAACGCTTTACAGTGTGTGTGTGTGTGCACTTTAATAAACAGAATGAGACGTATTCCATAAGAAAATGGATTCGTTTAAATGGCTATGATTAAAGCAAGATTCTACTTTTTCTATTTTAAGATGAAAATTTCTTGCCAAGCTTCAATGTTGCTCTTTAATGCAAAATATGGCAACTCACTTATCCAAAGATTTATGATCTAATTAGCTTTTTCTTAGCAAGTAGGTCTCTTTTTTTCAAAGGCTTTCGCTAAAATGTTGAAATTTAACTTAGTTTATTTAAGAGAATATCAATAATATATATATTGTTATGATTTTTTTTATAGTAATGTCAATTTTTTATTTCTTCAAATTATATATTTATTAATCTGTTTAAAAAGGCTTTAAGTTGTTAAACTCCATAAAGGCGTAGGTCTTATAGTATTTTTTTTTAATACAATTTTACTAATATTAAAAAAAAATTGAAAGGTTTTGATACACCTAGAGATTTAGATATCAATTTCTGTCCTAATAAAATTGTCTATCAGGATGTTATTATTAGTATAGATTTATGATAGCTATATTCAATACACAAACTTTATTTAATAACAATTAATCTATAGAATTATCTTTATTTATATAAATTTTGTCCAATACTAATTAAATTATTAATATAAATTTATACTTAATAATATGGTACATTATTCTGACAAATAATTTTAATAATATAAGAATTTGATAAACTATTATCACATCATATAGCTAGTATAATATATTTTATTATATTAATGTAGACTCATGATAATTATATTAAAGTTTAATTTTCATTAAAAACAATTTAAACTAATAGGAGCTTACTAAGCGACAAATTGTTATTAAATAGAACTTTCGTGTAGTGACTAATAGTTTACTTTTTATTAAACAAAAATTATAATCAATAGAGATTAATTTAAGACCAAAGCATTAATGTAAGATTTTTTTTATTTTTATAATAAAGTAATTTGACCATTTACCTCTTAGATGATTATTTTGTATGAATGAAAAGGCAAGATGTGGTGGTCTCATCAGAAACGACAGTGGAAAGTGAATTATTGGATATTGCTATGATCAGATTGGTATTTGTTTTGCTTTCAACGAACATTTATGGGGAATTTTAAAAGAGATAGAAACTATTTGGAAGAAGAGATACTGTAAGGCAGTGGTTGAAAGCGATTCACCAAAGCATAATCTCAGAATATACGATGAACAAGGATCATACCCTTCACAAACACCCAAGAAATTCACTTGCTTAATTGCCTAATGTGAGAATTAGGAAAAAAAATGATTTAAAAGTAAAGTTGATTAAAATTCTTGATTTACATTAGTTTCAAAATATCAAGAATCTCATGATCGGAAATTGTTACACAAATGAATGGTACCATAGAATTTAGAGGGGAAATTAAAATAATACTTTTTTTCAATTTTTTTAACAATCTTTAATATAAATTTTTTATAAAAATTTAAAATATTTTTTACTTTTTATATATTCATTTTTCATAAATATTAAAGCTTTTAAAATTTTCTAATTATTAATATAATAATAGAGTTTGAGTTTAAATAAAAATAAATTTAAAATATTATAATTCATTTTTAAAAAAACTAATATATTAATTAATTTTAAACAATTTTTTTATTTCGTGTGATTTACTTCCTTCGTTTTTCTTTGATGTTAAAAATTTTGCACAATAATTAAAAATAATTAGTATTGTAAATTCATAAAAAAATATTACTTAAATTTGTATTATACCATTCATCTATTATATACTCAGTAGCTATATTTATAAGACTATTTTAATTAAATCACACAAAACTAAAAAAATCGTTGAAAGCAGTTATTAGATTGATTTCTTAAAAAATTACAACATTTCAAGTTTACCTCCCGTCAAAGTAGAATTCTATTATTATACCACCTCTATTCTCATTTATGTAAAAAAGAATTACATAGACTAAGTAATTTAGTTATTTTGTTAAAATCAATTACTAAAATTTCTAATTTAAATTTTGCTGTTAAGTTTTCTTCTGATTATTTCATTACTCAAATAGTACAAGTACTTTAAAATTTTGGTCAAATTTAAGTAAGGTTGTGAATAAACTCTTGTAAGAAAAAATTAATATAAAAATTAATAAAATTTCTCCTATAAATTAAAAATAAATCATTTCTTCAAATTTTAAAGAAGCTAAATAGAAAAGACTTCTAAAAAAAAGTATAATTTCATTTTAGCACACATTAAGAGTTATATTCAATTCTTACATTGTTTTTAATTTATCTACAAGCTCATTCAAATTGAATTTTTGTTGATCTCATTTTTTAGTCATTAATTAGTTTAAATATCAAAATAATATATTTTTATTAAAAAATACATTCATTATATTAAAGTTATAAAAGTGTAACAATTAATTTTTTATATAAAAATTTAGTATTATTAGTTGTGACACTCAGGTTAAAATTAATATTTTTCTAATATGTTAATGACAAAAGACATAAGTAGAAAATAACAATTAAAACTGTCTACAACTTGTACATAAACAGATAAATAAGAATAATGTGAATATTGACAGCTAAGATGTCTTGAAGGTTTAACAATGAAAGACATGCACAAAAAGTAATAAATAATCTTAAAATTTTATATATAAAAAAAACTTTATATTATTTATTATTTTTATCAAGTAAATATTTTTAGTGATAATAAATACTTAAAAAACAACTAAATTTATAAAATAATGGTAAAAATATAAATAGAAAAAATTGTTAAAACACTTTAAAAAGTGTTATAAATAAAATAAAAAGAACTTTAAACTCAAAAGCAGCGAAGGTATATATAGCTCAAGGCCAAAGGTAAATTAAGGCAAACACATAATGGAAAGGGGCAAAAGGGAATAAGATTTGGAGGTTAAGGCTAATATATGGCTTACTAATGAATAATCTTAAAAATGCAGTGAGACATATCCTTGTGGCACTCCAATTATTTGGTCTAATCTAAGGGCCCCAACCAAGTTTTGAGTTTTTGTTTGAATGTTGGTTTTATAACAGATTGGCAGTAATTGAATTTGAAAATATATGCATACCCCGCCCCACCACTCTCTTCAATCAATTACATCTTCCCACACCATTTTATTCCTCTTCTTTCTACTTTCTAAGCTCCCTTTCCTGCATTCCATCTTACCCCAATTTTTCATCACTCCCTTCACTTTCCAAAGGCTGTAATAAATTTATCATATTAAGCACCAATAAATTTAATTTTTTAAAATATATATAAATTAAATTTAAAATAAATATTGCATGACACAATAAAAAAAATTAATTCATCAAAATAGCTTATTTAAGATAACTCTTAAAAGTGCTCTCTTTTAAAAATTAAGATTCATAATTTATATTTTAAAGGCACATTATAAGCAAAATATTATATTATTGAATTAATAATATTAATATATATAAACTCTAACATATTAATTAAAATTAATACTAACATTACTAATCGAGATTAGTTTGAGTGACAAGCAAATTAGTATCGCTTAAAGAAAGTCTCAAGTTCAAATTTTTTTATTATTAAATTTTTTTTAATAATACATTCATTCAGTACATCTAGTTAGTGACAGAATTTCTCAAAAAAATGTATGCAAACGACAGGAAGCTTGCACGTCGTATAGTCATTTTTATTTTATTTTTTTCACGTTGTCTTAGAATCTACTGATTGGAAAATTTGTATATAAGTATTAAATTAATAATAATATTAGATACTATATTTGTCGTGAATAAAACTTTGGAGCCAAAAAAGGATTACAAATGGTAGATTAATTTTTTACTCTAAGAAATGCTTAGATTTATACTTCCTTTACCACTTCTTTTAAAAGATAAAATAAA